CTAACTGTCCAGGGAGCAAACTCCAGCTGGGAACTCCAGGAAGGCTTTCTAGGCGTGCCGCTTGGCTGGGGCACCAGGCAAAGACAGCAGGCAGGGGGTGGGGGCCTGGAGCAGGGAGCTGGAGGAGGCCGCACAGGTGGACCGGGCCAGGCGTGCAGCTCGGTGTCTGCCCTGCTTGGAGCTCAGACTTGGCACTGTCGCTGTGCACCCCTCACCCCTGCCCACCTAGGAAGTCAGTCTGCAAACGTCTGAACATTATGATTTCTAACACTTTGCTCAGAGGGTTTACTCACCACACAGCCAGTTGCCGTGAAATCTCGATTCAGAGCAGCAGATTTGCATGTTAAGCAGGAGAGTGACAAGTCAGGTTGGACTCGGAGCAGGAGTCCAGGGCTGTGTGGAGAGTAGCCCTTCTGCCTTGTTTTGTGTCCTGGTGAAGGCCGAGGAGCCGGGCAGCCTTGTCCCAAGGGTGGCCAGTGCACATTTTGGCAAGTGAAACCTTCCTGCCCTCTTAAATCCAGAGGAAAATGCCCCGCCCCCCAGCCTGATGCTCTCTCTGGTCCAGCAAGGTGGCCTGGGACAGGACAGGAGCTCAGGGACCCACCACCTCCCTGTGTGCAGCCCTGGGCAAGTGGCTTCCCCTCTCTGCGCCTTGACCCCCACCGCAGCACAAGGACAAAGCTCTGCCGGGCTAACTTCCAGGGAGGATGCGAGGAAACACGGGCTCAGTCAGGTGTGACGGTGCTGGGAGCTCCACAGCCTGGCAGCCAGCTTTGGTTCTACTTTTGAAAGAGCAGCATATTTGGGGGCAGCAACTGGCTTAACACCCGTAATGGCAGATCGTAGCAGGGGCCAATAACAATCCACTGCTCCAGTCCCCCGGGGGGACAGCAGGTATCCCTCCGGCCATGGTTCCCAGGTACTCTTTTGGGACATGTTGCTTTTTCGTGAAATTAAACCTGTAAGGAATTGCATCATATGAAGCAAAGAAAGGAGAATGCTCTGGCTGGGGGTGGGGGGAGGAGATAGCACCCCTCGGGCTTTCAGTGTCTTTCTACCCACCCTCTCCCCAAACTTCACCCTCATCTCCAGGGATCCTCGCCGTGTGTACCCAAGTTTGCTGTATGAGGCAAGAGGTGTGGACCGCCCACTCCCAGCCATGTGCTCAAACAGCAGCCACAGGGCTGGGATTTGAACCTAGGTCCGCCCAGTCCAGCTCCCCTCTCAAAGCACAGGCCTCTCGTGGACCCTGGTCAGTGTATAATTCATAGGAGCTGGCATGCAGGGCTTTCTCTGGGCTGTGTGCGTGTTTGTGTTTATAGAGGTAGAGCTCACAGGTGGCTGACAAGGGAGATGTATTTTTTATAACAATGAATATTTAATTTCCACATCACAGATGAAAAAGACTCTCTGAAGAGGCATGTGAGAGAGACACCAGACCGAAGCCACTAATCAGAAAAGGGCCTTCTCACAAGTTCCCCTCCACGTGCTCACTTTCTTCCCTAACTTTTTTATTTTTAATTTTTTCTTGATTATTGGAGTAGATGTGCACGTTGTAGAAAACATAGACGACACAGAAAAATAAAGCGGGGGGGGGTCACCCATACTCCCATTAGCTGCTGTTGACATTTAGGCATATACTTTCCCAGTTTTTCTATGTATGTTTCTGTAAGTAGATGAGCGAGGAGGTATGATTGCAATTCCGCATCCTGATTTTTAGGTTTTCCTGTGTAAACGTTATAGTTAATGAGAGGCTAATATCCAGCCATCTGTACCATAATTCACTTCACCGGCTCCCTATTGCTGGAAATTTAGGTTGTTTCAGTTTTAATATCATAAACATAGCAGTGAGGAAACTCTTCGTGCATAATCCTCTGCTCCGTTTAGGGTTATCTAAATGGAAGTGGGGTTACCAGCTCACAGGTGACCGTGTGTTTAAGGCTGCTGACATCTCTGGCAAACCCAGTTTCTTTTCCGTTTGGGACCAGCCGCCTCACCTTGGGGCATGTCGGGCCTCCCGTGCCCCCTGGCCTTCTCCCGGGCGCCTCCACCCAAGGCGAGCAGAGCGAGACCAGGGCCCGGCACGGAGCCCAGAGGCCCCCCTGCCACCCCACCGTGTGGAGCTCTGAGGGCACCGCCTAACTCTTCTCTTCTCTCTTGTCTCCCCCACCCCAGCCTGGTAAAGCCCTTGCGACACTATGCAGTCTTCCTCTCCGAAGACTCCTCTGACGATGAGTGCCAGCGCGAAGAGGGCCTGAGCTCGGGCTTCACTGAAAGCTTTTTCTTCTCCGCTCCCTTTGAATGGTCTCTCCTTCCTCCTTCCGTTTCCCTGAGCTGGGCTTGGTGACTCGCTGGGGCCGCTGCGGGGAGGGGGTGGCTAGTGCTGCTGGCCCTTGTGTGGGGGGGGGGGAGGGGGCGGTCTAGGGCTGCTGCCTTCCGGTGCCCCGGTGCCACTTTGCAGGGTGAACACCACCTCTGTCTGCCTCTTCTCAGGGTGTTCATTCTGCCAGCCCCACAGAGGCTGTGACGGTAGAGTGAGGTGACAAGAGTGACAGGGCTCTAAAGGTGTGAGTCGGGGTCATCAGTCCTGTTCCTTCAACAGGGAAAATGCACTCGACTGTTAATGGAATCAGTGGCTACGATTAGCCTGGTTGGTGACGCCCGAGTCCTTTATCTCAGCACATCTTAGAAAGCCATGGAGACGGAGTGTCAGATTTTTTAAGTTTAAAAAAAGAAAAACTTACTGCTATGGGATGTGTATATTAATGCTGGCATATCCAAATGTTTTACTGATCTGCCTGACTCTAAAATAATTTTTATCATTATTATTTTTAGCCTAAGCCTCATGCTAATTATAAAGTGAAATAAAAATGAAGGTTCACCACCATCCAGCCACCCCCCCAAATTAAGCTTTTCTAGTTCCCCTTTTTTGCCAGTTCTTGGCCCTCCACCCACATGTTTTTGAGAGCTGGGAGTGAGCAGAGGGACAGCATTTGTCTGTGTTTATTTGTTAACAAGGTTGTCATGCTTTGAATGGGAAGGGGCCTGCCCTTCGCTAAAGTCCAAGGGGCCCACAGCGACCCCCCAGGGAGGGAACCCTTACAGCGTTTACAGCACAGGGGACTCTTCCCCTCCACCTCCCTGTCCCCAGGCCCCTCCCCTGGGCCGTGGGCTGCTCGGGACACCTGATTAACCCGACAGCTCTGCTCCTGCCGCCACTGCCCCCTCTGGATAGGAGGTTCTGGCACTTTCTGCCACCAGCTTGCCTGTGACCACGGGCAAGTCACCTGCTCCTGGTATCCTCACTCAGTGTTGCCCAAACTTCACGTGTCACCTTTACTGTATGTTGAATCTTTTTCTTTTAAAACTTAAAAATTAGCCTTGTCCTAAGCAATAATATCTATGATATAGTCTTAGTGTATCGGTTATTACTTCTATTAATTAAAATATAGAGTCATTGGAATAGAAATGTTTATGTATCAACTTAAAATCCCCTTGCAGGCAAGGCACTCTGGGTGATGTCCAAGGACCCCCCATCCCCACCCCCAGCACAGAGCCCAGCAGGTCACATCCTTTTCTAATTAATTGCTGCCTTACATATTTGAATAATAGCTAGTGCTCACTCCTTTCACCATGACCCATGTAAAGTACACGCTTTGGTATGTGTGTGTTTACAAAAGAACTGGCCCATCTTAAATCAAAACAAAATGGTTTTTAATGAATACTAATTCCTTAAGTGTAAGAAGCACACTGACTTTTCTTTACCTCCTTCATTGTGTTTAAATTTGGTTAAAAGGGTTTTAATTCCTTGTTCAGATGGGTTAGTCAGCGAGTGAGGGACTTTTGAAGTTTCTCCTACTTGGCTTCCATTTCCACCTCTTGCCAGGTGCTATGTGACATAGGGTGAGTTACTTAGCCTCTCTGAGCTTCAGTTTCCTCATCTGTAAAGTAGGGTGTGTGTGTGTCTACTTCATGGGTTGCTTGTGTTGCTTCAGCGAGAGTCCCTCTGTTCACTGAGCCCTCCCTGTGCTGTATCCTGCCCGGTTCCTGCCAGTGAGCCTTCGGGACCAGCAGGTGGCGGCCTTCCCCCACTTCACCAGAGCCACAGGCAGTTTCTGCAAGACCCAGGGGCCTCAGCCAGCCCCAGCCTCCTGGTTACAGGAGGTGGGACGCTGCTCTGGCCCAGGCTCCAATAGAGGTCAGGGTTTGTCCGGCACCGTTCTCCGTGTACATAGTGGTGCCCTGGGGCTCAGGCTTATCAGAAAGGAACCCTTTGTCACCTGCACGGAGTCTCGGCTGCAAGGATTTGGTGCATGAATATCAAGAATGCTGTTAGTTAGCCTCTGCATGCCCGCTGTGTACCAGGCACCAAGTTTGCTCATATAGTGCCCACTACCATCTGCAAAGGGTGTGGTTGGGGCTCAGAGAGGTTAAGTGACTTGCCCAAAGTCCCATGGCAGGAGATGGCAGGACCAGAGCTAGAACCAAGGTCAGCACAGGCTGAGGCCCAGACGGTCCCCCCTGTGGATTCTGGGGTGTGCTAGGGAGTTTCCCCAGCTCAGTTCCCATGTTCTGTTCCCAAGACCCGACTGCCACAGGGGGCTGGGAGTACAGATGGTGAGCTTAGGAATGAGTGCACCTGCCTGTTCCCTTTCCAGTCCTGTCCCATTCCTCATGCCTTGTTTGAATGACGTGTGAACCCACTAACCAGTTATCTGATGGGTCCTGTGATCAGGAGGAACTAAGTGGGCCCCCAATGCAAGTCAGAGCCCAAGTGACTTGCCCAAGGTCCTACCAGTGAGCAGCAGAGCCCAAATTCAGCCCCAGGTCTGTCAGAGTGCCCCTGCCCGGACTCCTGTGCTCAGGGACCCCAGGCACTCTCCTGACCCCAGGGCTCCTGGGTGTGTTCCTCAGGCCTGGAAGCTCTCAGGGATGGGTCTGCCTGCTCTTCCCTCCGAGACTCTGGGTGGGAGAATCCAGCCTGCTCTGCCTCCTCCCAGGCCGCAGCCATATCGGACACTCAAGGAGTCTGACAGTGCAGAAGGCGACGAGACCAAGAGCCCGGAGCAGCGAGCGCGGGAGCCCGTGGGCCCTGCCCCAGCCCCACCTGACCGGGCTGCCAGCATCGACCTTCTGGAGGATGTCTTCAGCAGCCTGGACATGGAGGGCCCGCTGCAGCCACTGGGCCAGGCCAAGAGCTTGGAGGACCTTCGGACCCCCAAAGACCTGAGGGAACAGACAGGGACCTTTGACTATCAGGTACGGTGTGGGCAGCGGCGGGCACCTGCTGGGGCTGGGGATTTCCATGTGACAGTGAGAGAGACCAAGGAAGAAACAGTGACTTTTCCAAGGTCCTCGGCCAGTGCTCAGGTCAGTCTGACTGCAAGCCCTGCCAGGCAGGCCAGCGGTCAGGCGACCCTCACAGTGATCGCTGGAGACGATGCTGGATGTGCTCGAAACCGGCCCCGCCCCCATTTGTGCATCAGAGAGAGGTGGGCTGGCGCCCCAGGCCACTCGCCCCAGGAGTCCCAGCCCGACCCCCAGGCAGGCCTTTGAGCCCTCGGGGAACTGGGTTTGCTCCCATCCCCACCAAGGAAGTCTCCATGAAGAGACTGAATCAGAATTCCTGGGTTCTGGGTTATTGGCATGAAACCACTGATTTTGCACTGTGACTTCCAGTCTATCACATCCCCTCTCTGTGCTCGTTTCTTCACTTGCAAGTGGGGGCTGCTGACTGCAAGCACTGAGTCACACCATGAAATGCACAGAGCCCCCACATATCCAGTGACTCATGTGTGCCCCTCAGGCCAAGGGAAGTGAGGCCCGGGTCACAGAGCTTGGGAGTGACAGCACGGGGACTCGGGCCCAGTCCTGTTTCCTCCTCAGCCAGTGCTCGGTCCAGGCCATGAGCCTCACTCGCCCTCTTGGGCTCACAGGTGATTGAAAGTGCCCACGTGCTTTGAAAAGTAAAAAGGGCCCGGCCAACCAATGGTCAGTAAACATTCCTTTTTCTAAAACTACTTGGCAACCCTGGCATGAAAGGACAGGGGCTTTCTCTGGAATCCCTTAGTGCCACACAGTGAGAACAGCCTGGGCTTAGAGTCCAGACAGACCTGGGCAGAGCCCTCAGCTGCTCTCAGTGCCAGGGGGCTGCTCAGCCACGTGCCTGGGACCAAAATCCCAATACCTACCCAGCACGCGGGCGGGGCGTAGGAATGGGCGTGTGCTGCCTCCCAGCCTGTCCCAGGTCAGCTGTGCTCACGGCCTCCCTCGTTCCCTCCCACAGAGGCTGGACCTGGGCAGGGGTGACCGGAGCCGCGGGATGCCAGTGGTCTTGAAGCTTGCTCACCCGTACAACAAGCTATGGAGCATGGGCCAGGACGACATGGCCATCTGCAGCAAGCCCCTGGCCGCCGCTCCCGAGAAGCCCTCAGTCCTGTTTGGGAACTCCCCGGCCCTGCCCCGCCGGCCCCCGAACCGGGACAGCATCCTAAACCCCAGCGACAAGGAGGTGGCGCCCACGCCCACTGCGGGCAGCATCACCATTCCCCGGCCCCAGGGCAGGAAGACCCCGGAGCTGGGCATTGTGCCCCCACCTCCCACCGCCCGTCCGGCCAAGCTCCCAGCTGCTGGTGCCGCCCTTGGCGACTTCTCCTCCGAGTGGCTATCAGCCGAGCAGGAGAGGCACGCTGCCCCCTTCCCCGGTGCCACCTCCCAAGGCCCCACCGAACTGCTCCAGCCACTCAGCCTGGCCCCAGGGGCTGCAGCCACTGGCAGTGACACCCTGCTGGCCCTCCTGGACCCACTTCACACAGCCTGGTCAGGCAGTACCCTTCCACCAGTCCCTGCAGCCCCAAATGTAGCCACCCCATTCACCCCCCAGTTCAGCTTTCCCCCCGTGGGGACTCCCACCCCATTTCCACAGCCATCACTCAACCCCTTTGTCCCATCTATGCCAGCAGCACTGCCTGCCATGTCCCTGGTCTCCACACCGACCGGGCCTTACGGAGCCCCTCCTGCTTCCCTGGGGCCAGCTTTTGCCCCCGGCCTCCTGCTGTCCAATTCGGGCTTCTGTGCCCCACACAGATCTCAACCCAACCTGTCTGCCCTCTCCATGCCCAACCTCTTTGGCCAGATGCCCATGGGTGCCCACACCAGCCCCCTGCAGCCTCTGGGGCCCCCAACTGTCGCCCCTTCGAGGATCCGAACGTTGCCCCTGGTCCGCTCAAGTGCCAGGGCTGCTGAGGCCAAGCAGGGGCTGGCCCTGAGGCCTGGAGACCCCCCACTCCTTCCTCCCAGACCCCCCCAGAGCCTGGAGCCAGCACTGCAGCCCTCTGCTACTCAAGAGGCCAGGGACCCCTTTGAAGATTTGCTACGGAAAACCAAGCAAGACGTGAGCCCGGCCCCAGCCCCAGGCTCAGTGGAGCAGCTCAGGAAGCAGTGGGAGACCTTTGAGTGAGCCAGGCACTGAGGGCTGGGGGTGGCGAGGCCCAGCACGAGCTGCGCACCCCCGCGGCTCTGAGGCTAGCCAGCCTGCTTCCCCAGCCGCTGTGTCCGCCCGGGCTCCTGGTGAGAAGGAATGGGACCCTCTCTGCAGCCCCTCCTCCCCTCCACACTGCTCATCTCGGAGGTCTGGCTGCTGGAGAATGGCACCAGTTCTGGTCTGGGAATCGACCAGCTCCTGGGTGCCCGTCCCGCCCACCACCAGCCCTCCCCAGCACCTGTTGAGTTTTGCACTAAAGAGGTCAGCTGGGCCAGTGATTGCCCCCTACCTACCCTCTGGAAACCTCCTCAAGGCCTCCCGAGCCCTGTCCTCCTGTCCTCAATGGGCACAGGTGCCAGTGGTACCCTCGGTGTGAGCAGGAGACACACATGGTTTGGAGTGTGAAGTAAGGAACCCCTCCCAGGCTGGAAGACTCACCTGGAGAGGCATTTCCAACCCTCTCCAGCAGTACTGGTTCTTTGTGAGTCTGCACCCCACCCCCAAACTTCAGCGGTTTCTGGCTTGGTAGGGATTTGGGGGCTGAGGGATTCTTGAGATCCTGCGTGATAGCCAAACCTAGCCCCAGCCAGTCCTGCACAGGGGTGGGAGCACCAGCAGCTCTGATTTGTAGAAGAAAAAACAGCAACAGGTGAATCTGGGAGCCTCAGAAGCTGGAGTCAGGCCATTGTCTGGGCTCTCCCTGGATCGCTGTGGGCTCTCCTGGTCTCCCGTGTTTCTGTCATATGAGGTTCAGCTGGGGCAGAGCTAAGCAGCAGGCACCCAGTTCCAACTGGAAGGCCGAGCTTAACACCCCAGACGGACACAGGAGTTCCAGCTGCCTGGACTCCCTGGGTCAGGGAGGAGCGGGGCACTGAGCCCCTTGTCCAGGCCCCAGTGGGTGGACAGGCTTGGTTTCATTCAGCCTGGAGGCAGGAGGGCTAGGGGCTACCCGCTCCCTGCCTGTCTGGCCTGTGATTATCGCCAGCAAAGAAATTCCTAAGGCCAACATCACCAAAGCTAAATTGAAATGTTTTGTTATTGTTTCTTTGATCTTTCTTCTCCTTTTTACTTTATTGATTTGATGAATCTTGAAATTGACTAATTTCAATAAACCAAGTTGAAATATGGCCCAACCATTTAAGAAAACAACCATTTGAGACATGCAGGAAATTGGGAGCATTTTGACCTGATTTTTCATTTCCTATTTGTGAATGCTCACAGTCTCAGAGGTGCTGATGGGGCAGGGGGTCCCTGGAGGTCCCCAGAACCCCAGGGTGCCTTGTCAGTGTCTGAGGGGCTGGCAGGCACCCCGTGCCGTGGCTCAGTGAGGCCTGGAGGGCTGGCTGTGAGGTTCGCTCCCCCAACATGGGGTGTGACACACTGCTGGCCCAGCACACAGCCCCTCCTGAGTCAGTCATGGCCACTAAGACAAGTCTTCCCTCTAAATCTCGGGACTGTTCTCTAGCTGCCTGGGAGAGGGGCGGGGAGGCATGTCATGTCTGGGCCATGTGGGGACCTCCAGGACACTCAGGTGTATCCGTGCAGACTCCAGGCCTCCCCATCCTGGGCAGACCCCTGAACCCCATGGGGGACGGGACAACCCACCTGATTGATGGGCAGGGTGTGAGTCCAGGGGCACCGGGTGGCTGCAGGGAAGCGGAGCCCAGCCCTGGTCTTCCTGCTGTGCTGGGGCAGGTGGCACTGCGCCCTGTTCACATCGGCACTGTGGTCGCTTCACCCAGATCAAATCGGCAAACCCAAGGATGAATTCTGTGTGTGCATTCAATAAAGTCTTCTTGGGGAGAAGGCTGGTATCCCTGTGTCCTTGAGGAAGCTCTGGGTTTGGGGGAGGCCTCAGCCATCCTCAGCTCCCCCTTCTATAGAGGAGCCGGGGTTCAGAGCAGTCGGAAGGATTTGACCCCTGGCCCACTCCCAAGCCTGTTCTCATTTGGGCCTCTGAGCCCAACTCGGCCTCCTCCCCTTCCAGGCAGGGCACAGGGGTGGGCTGGTCACAGGCCTGCTGGGTCCCTGGAGCAGGGCTGCAGGTCACTGATGGTGTTGAGGGTGCTCAGGCTCCAAGAAGAAACAAGCCCAAGGAGACACCTGGAAGTTAACCCCACAGACCTCATGAGCAAGGGCAGAGCCTCGAGCGTGCACTGCGGTTAGAGTCTCTGTTGAGAATATCTGGACCAAGCACCCAGAGAGGGCGTTAAGCTCACCCATCATCTGGCCTGGTCCCCCCCTCCCCAGGCTGCCCTTGTAAATGACATGTGCCTAAGAAGCAAGAGAGGAGAACATGGGGTTCCCCAAAAACAGCGGTCCAGCTTTTATTTGTTGAGGTTCCACATAAAATTTCTTAAGGAGTCCGCAAGATCAAAGGTTGGCCAAATCCATGACTCGAACTAGCCACAGAACCGGCTGTGGCTAAGCTGTGGGTACCAGAGGTCTCCTCTCTCGCTTTCCCAGGAGTCATGGAGACAGTTGGGGGAAAGGTGGTCCCACCTCCTACAAGAAAAGGACCTATCAAGCCCCTTCACGTCGTATTCAGAGCCCTTCCTGTCCCAGCCTCTGCTTACCGCCCCGCCCCGTCTCAGACCCCCCATCACCACGTGGCCCCACCTCCCATTTGGCTCCTGTGCCTCCAGGAGCTGGGTCACGTCAACCTCCAATCTAACAGTGTAGAGAGGCCTCCTGGCCTTGGCAAGTTGGCACAGGAGGCACTGGCCTGGGAAGCAGGAAGGACGAAAAGGCACATCTCCAGCTCAGGCACAAAGGACTGTGTGTAGCTCTGAGGAGACCAGGATCGGAGCTCCCAGTGTGATGGCATCACCAGGGAAGAGATGGGAAACAAAGCGGCAAGTTCTGCCCACGTCTGTGTCTCTGCAGGGCCAGCCCCGACAGAGGCAGCCCCAGCGTTCTCAGCACACAACTCAGGGCCTCCTGTGAGTCCTCCCCAGGAATCCTCCCAACCGCCATTTAGAGAGGCAACTGGTCTGCAGGTGAAGGCGTGGCCTCAGCAAGCAGCTGCGGAGGACCCTCCGGCTGGCATCTGAGCTGGAGAACCAAGAGGTGGTTGGGGAAGTTGGAGGGAAGGGTTGCGCCTTCATTCTCATCACCCCCCAGGGAGGCCCCTTCCCCCACTCTTTCCCTCAACTCCAGCCAGGGGAGGGAGACAACCGTTCCTGACACGTAAAAGGACAACGCCGACAGCCCTTCACAGCAGACCAGGGTTTAAAGACTTCAAGTTCTTTCCACGCTGATCCTCACAACAGCCCTGTGAGGTAGGCTGGCTGCTTTCCCCACTCTACAGATGCCAGGCCCTGAGGAAGGAGGGGGCTGCATGGAGCCTAGACACCCCCGGACAGCCCGCCCACTGTCCCTCGGGTCTGCCCTGGCCGTGGTCTGTTCCCAAGTGGGCCTGGCTCTGGCACAAGGCAGAGACAGATCTGCCCAAAGCTTCAGGCTGTGGCCTCCTCCTGATTTCCCAGCTGCTTCCAGGCCTGGGTCAGCTTCCAGAGCGGGGAGGAGATTCGGGAGCTGGGGACTTGGTCCTTGGGCATGCCCTGGCCTGGCCTCCTGGACAAAGTGCAGCCTGGGGGTGCCCCCGCCCCAGAGCTGTGAAGGTTGCTCCCCAGCCCGGTCACCCCCTCCGATGGCCCGCACCCACTACACAGACACAGACATGTCCACGAGCCCCATCCAGCACACACACACCGGTATCTGCAGATCAACAGTCCCAGGTACACACACACATCTTGCACACATGCATGCACACACACACTCCTGAACACACCGTATGTACCCACGTGTGCCCCTGCCCTGCACAGCCACACACCTGCCGAGGCAAGACCCAGCAGGTCCAATGGCGATGTCCACTCCCTCGCCAGGCCCCTCTCTGCTGCCCTGAGTGCTCCCCTTGTCCTCAGTCCCCGAAGGGGCAGAGGCAGGGGCTGCCAGCAAAGAGGACACTTCCCCAGCAGGTATCCTGTGCCCACAGCAACTCTCCAAGGCCAGGAAGGGGCAGGCCACTTCCCCACAGGCTCCTGGAAGTGGCCTCCCTGGGTCTCCAGGTAGAAACCATTCATGACCTCATGGGTGCTGGAGCCGGCAGCCAGGTAGGCCTAGATGAGTCGCTCCTCAGGCGGCACCTTGAGGACACTGTCCATCTCCAGCCGGGCCCCGGCCACCTCCTGCTGGCTCGGGCTGTAGGTGCCCTCTGACTGGCGACGCTTTCTGGCTGCCAGGATCCCTGAGAGGAGGCCCAAGAAGAGGAGGAGGAGGCAGGCGCAGGCTGCAGGCACCGCCACCTCCAGCAGTGGGAACGGCAGCGGCAGTGGCAGGCCCTTCTGTAAGACAGCGACAAGGAGGCCTCAGATGGGGGTTGTGGGGAGGAGAGGAGAAAAGGGGACACAGGACTTGCTTAGAGACAATCAGAGCTAGTAACAGGCTTCCCCGGGAGGTAGTGAGAGACCCGGGCCTGGGGGTTATGCAAGCGGGTGGCAGGGAGCCACCTGTCAGAGCCACTGCAAGGAGATTCCTGTATGACAAAGGGGTTCTGGCGAGAAGGAGAGAAAACACATTTTTTGAACATCAGTATGGGCTAAGAACAGTGCATGGGGCTTCACCTAAACCTTTCAATGATGTGATGAAGTGCGAGTGAGGATGACCTGTCGCTTCCAGGAGCACAGGAGTCTGGGTTATTTTGTTCACTGGTATTCCCCAAAATACCCAGAGCAGTGCCTGCATATTAGCACGGATAAGTAGTAGGTGAGAAAACAAGCTCTGCCCAGATCCGCCAGACACGTGACTAGTTAGTGGCAAGCCAGGACTGGCACTCCTCCGTCTGCCCCCAGTGCCACACCACCATTCTCCAGCCTCAGATTCCAGGTGGAGGCCCCTTCTGTCACAGGCCAGGGGGGCCTCAGTGCCCAGCCTTGCCATTTGGCCGTCTCCCCACAATAAACTCATTCAATCTGAGACAATGGGGACCTAATCCCTCCCCATCCTGAAGGGTGACCTGGTGGTTTAAAGGGTCTGTGGACACCATGCTGAACCCCAAAGTGGGAGGCGTCTTAGGGAGAAGCCTGAGAGGCTGACCCGGCTGATGAGATCAGAATCCAGCAGGGCTTCCGCCCCAACCAGGGAGGCTCAGACTAGGCTTTGGGGGACCTTCGTCTCTGTCCCCCAGACTCCCAGGATAAGCCCATCAAAGATTCTACAAGGTTAGAATTCTAAAGTCCCAAATCACAGGATTCCAGAGCCACAGGTATCCCTCTGTCCCATGAGGCCTCCCAGGCCATGGTGACCCCCGTCCCAAGCCCAAACCCAGCCCTGGAGAAGGGTCCCAAGGATGGAGAGAAAAGTGGGTCCCAGCCCTAGGTGGACATCACCAGCCTCTATCCCGGACACTTCTGGGGGAGCTGTAAAGCCATTTCCTCCCTCCACCCTCAGAGGAGGATGGGTAGGGGAGCTAGAGGCTGTAAAAGTTCAACTTGAAAGGAAACATTCCCCAGAAGCAGAGGGGATTTGCAGGTTTATGACCGGGGCTTGCCAGACGCCTGTGGCGATCAAGGCTCCCTGCCCAGGCCCCGGCCTGCATCCCTCCAGCCAGCACCCACTGTGGGCCCACTGCCTGCCCTGCAGGCCCTTGGAGGGGAGGGGGCCAGAGGGAGGTTCAAGCTCAAGCTGCAGGGGGCGGGGCGCTCCTCAGCCGAGCCTCCCTGGGGTCAGGGGCTGCTGCCTTCACAGTGGCCACACCCAGTGGGGCTCAGAATCCTGGGCTCCTCGAGAATCGCTTCCAAAACCACTGGTGATTACAGGCTCTTGTGTTCACCAACCTAAAGCCCAGAATTCCAAAGTCCTATGGGCCCTGAATCATTCTGTCTCAGATTGGACTTGGACAAGCCCAGCTGTTTCGCTGCCAGTCCCCAGAGGGATGGTGGGGGCCCCCAGGCTCTCCCTAGAGTGAAATGCCTCCTGCTTGGGACGGAGGAGGGGGGAGCATGGAAAGGACCTGAGTCTCCCTCCCCTGCTGCTGCCCACCCCACCACAGGGCCGGTCCAGGAACAGATCCAGGAACAGATCCGCAGGTGCTGTACATACTCCCCCGCCCCCATCATCTAATAAAGTCCAAAACAGGCCCCTCCCCCCCAGCACAACTCACCACCACTTCGCAGAACTGCCCAGAGAACCTTGTGCCGCAGACACATTCATACACCCCACCGGCTGCCCGGCAGGTGCCCCCATTCAAGCAGGGGTTGGCCTCACAGGGGACTTGACACCTGGGAGGCAGAGAAGAGGGGGACGTGGAGAAAGCTGCTCCCTCCCATGCTGCCACAGGCATCAAAGCTCATCCATCCACTGTCCCTCCCAGCCCCCAGCTGGGCCCTGCCAGGTGACCATGCTGAACTCGATCTCTGTCACTCGCCACCCCCCTTTGCCCGGTGTTCATGACTGAGAATGGCTCACTCCACCAGCAGCACAGGAGAGCCTGCCCAGTTTTGCTGACTCCCTGTCTGGAGTGGGCCCAGAACCTTGACCTTAATAGTCTCCCAGGTGGTCCTGACTCAGGTGGGCTGCGCAAGGGGCTCTAAGAAACACCACCAGGCAACTATTGGATTGTCAGAAAAGTCATGACATTTTTGCAATGAAAAACAGAAAAATAACAACCCAATAGTTCCCTACAGGTGTCTACATAACAGGGGATGGTCTTGGAAACCCCAGAAGGAAAGAGCTGCAGTGACAAGTGAACCATCTGGCACGGTGACGACAGGGAGGGCTCAGAAGGAGAGCACCCCACTTCACCTGCCCTGCGCACTCTCCACACTCACTGGCCCACCTCCCGGGCCGCAGCCCCCACACCCACCTCTGGCCAGCAAAGCCCTCCTGACAGCTGCAGTTGGCACCCCCAGGCCCACCCTCACATGGGCTGCCATTGAGGCAGGTGAAGTTCAGGCTGCATTCCTCTGGCAGAACAGGCAACCTAGGGAGAAAGTACAGAGGCTGGACTAGGGCAGGTCGCCTGGGGTCTGGCCCCCACCACCACCACCACCACCTTGTGACCACAGGTCACCTGAGCCTCTGTGTCATCATCTGTGGAATTCAGGGCCCACCTCATGTAGACCCTGATATCAGCCATGGAAGTGGTGTCTGAGATAGAAGGGTGACACACAGGCTGTCACTCTGCTGCTCCAGCCCCACCCCCAAGGGGCACAACCTCTAAACCCAGGCTGGGAATCTCTTCCATGGCTGACTCCTTGGAGACGCTGACAAAATGAAAGGACTCTCCTTGGAAACCAGAAGCACACACCTAAACATAAAACTTGGGCCTGATATTCCTTGGCGGGTAGGCAGGGAAGTCAGGCCTCCGTCAGACAACCCTCCATAAGCTTGGCTCCAAAGGGCATGGGGCGCTAACTCCATATTGAATAGGGGACCATCTCACTGCCCACAACCCGCGAACATCAATGGCGAGCAGCTGCGTTTTCTTCTAAGACCAGCTCTGGGTTAACCCCGCCCCCGCCCCCACATAAGAGCGCTGTTTATCTGAAATTCAAATTCACCTGGCTGTCCTGTAGTCTACCTGGCAAGTCGAGGGCACTGTGGTTCCCGTTTCACAGCTGAGGGCACGGAGGCTCAGAGAAGGGAAGCAGCTGGCCCACAGACCCAGTGCCTCGCAAGCTCTGGTGTTCCCTGTCCCACCCACCGCCCCGGGGGTCCTCCCCTCCCTTCCCGCCTCTACCTCGGGTCCCCGACCGACCCCGCGGGCCCCGGCCACTCGCACCTGCAGCGCGGGCCAGCGAAGCCCGGCAGGCAGCGGCACTCGAAGCGGCCGTCGGGGCGCGCGTGGCAGCGGCCGCGGACGCAGGGTGCTGAGCTGCACGGGTCGGCGCGGGTCTCGCAGCGCGGGCCCCCCCAGCCCGGGCCGCAGGCGCAGGCAAAGGCGTCGAAGAGGTCGCGGCAGTCGCCGCCGTGCAGGCAGGGCGAGGGGACACACACGGGTTCGCCTAGGCAGCCGAGGCGCAGGGCCGGCGCTTCGGGCCAGGCCGAGAAGTGCTCTCGGGTGCCGGGGGGCGCGCCCGGCCGCGGGCGCGCCAGGGGCAGCGGGAGGCCGCCGACCGCCACGCGGCCCAGGCAGCCGGTGAAGTTCTCGGCCAGCAGGACGCGGGCGGCGCCCGGGCCGCGCAGGAAGGCCAGGTCGCCGGCCAGGCCGAGCAGCGCCATGGGCGTCGACGCGGCGTCCAGCCACAGCAGCCAGCGTGATGCGGTGGCCGTGGGGCGCTCCATGGCCAGGCGCACGCGGTGCCAGGCGCCGTCGTTCACGCGCGGCCCAGGCGCGGGCAGGACCGCCCCGGGCGGCCCGCGGCCGCTGCGCACGCCGGCTGCCAGCGAGCCGTTGCGCACCGCCAGCCAAACGGCGGCAAGGGCGCCCGCGGCAGCACGCAGCAGCCCGGCCTCGGAGTCTCGCGTGCGGAAGGCAAGCGAGAGGCCGCTGAGCGTGGGCCCTGACGATGCGTTGTGCCCACTGAATGCGACCGCGGGACCTTCGCGGAACGTGGCTTCGGCCACACCTGCAGAGAGAGGGAACGTCGGTGGTGGCCTACCAGCACCCACTCCACTCCCGACCCAACACACGGGTGATACCATCTGCCGCCCCTACTACCCCTCCCCCGGCCCATCGAGTGGCGGGGCACACATAGCCACTTATTATCTAATCCCAGGAACTGCAGCCCCACCACCGTCGCTTCCACCCCCTCACAATTCCCTACCTCCAGACTGTGCCCTCCTGGGCACAGATCAGGCAATAATACCCTCCCTCCCCTGGAAAATTCTGCCCCTTCCCTTCTCCCTTAAGTAAGTTCCCTGGTCTCATCACTGAGACTTAATCTTCACTGCTGTAAGTCATCTTTTTTAAATGCTGATCATGCATTTTAATGAAATGCAATCAATTCTTTAAAATGCTAATCATGTCCTTCACCTGCCTTGAGGGAAGGGGTGGGCTCTAACCCAGCTTGGGTGTCCAGCACCCAGCATGTGGGCTGCCCAGGGCACACACTCACAGACAAAGCCATCAGGGACCTCCTCACAGGTGGCAGGCAGGAGGCAGGGCTGGCCAGGACACCACAGCTGCTGGGCACACGTGGGCCCCGTGAAGTTGGTAGGGCAGGTGCAGTGGAAGTCGTTCCAGGCGACCAGGCAAGTCCCACCATTGAGACAGGGGTCAGGCTGCAGGAGAATCAGGGTAGGGATTGGCTCAGGCCTGGGGGAAGCATCAACCCACCATAACCATCATGTCATCAGTTCTTAATTGAGCCCCTACTATAGACCCATTACCTCCTTACAAACAGTGAGGAAGTCACTAACAGCTCCATTTTACAGATGAAGAAACTAAGGCCCAGAGAGAAGAAACCACTTGCCTGAGTCACCCAGCCAATAAATACAGGAGCCAGAGTTCACACCCAGGATATTCCAATTCCAGGGCCAGAGCTTTGTTCGTGAGCCAAGCGGGGTCCCTGTTCCCCAGATAGTTCCTGCATAAAGGCTCAGACAGCCCTTGCCTGGGTCAGGGTGTCTGTCTCAGACCCGGACTGGGAGGGAGGCATGGGGACCACTTGAGGGCCAGAGGAGCTGGGCTAGAGAGAGAAATGTGAATCCTGCACTGCCACTCTCTAACAGTGGGGCCCTGGGCAGGGCGCTTTCCTCACCAGTAAAAAGACATGCTAACCCCAGAGATGCAGGCTACCCACCCTTTTTCCAGAGCACTCACACTGCACATGTCCTCAGAGACACAGCCCACAGTGAGGTTCCAGGACTGCCTGCTGCCCAGCTCCCTGGGCTGGCTGGAGTTCCCCAGCGGCGGTGGAAAGAAGGGGAGGTGGAGGCCATTGAGTCGCAGATCCTGGAGGCAGCCTCGGAAGGGCCCACCCCAGGGCTGGGCGGCAGCAGGGAGGAGCCTCCCACCCACGTGCACCTGCTGCCCCAGGCCCTGCAGTTGGTCAGGCCCAAAGCTGAGTGTCACCAGGTGGCGGAGCCCGTCATCCCAGCGCCCGGGGAGCAGCAGAGCAGGACTGCCCAGCACCTCAGCCCGGATCTGGCCCTCGCTCAGGTACACTGTCAGGCCAGACACTGAGTCGTTGGCCAGCTGGAGCAGTAGGCCAGCAGGCTCCCGAGTGCGGAGGAGGAAGGACACAGTGAGGTTGGGGCCTGGCGGCTGGTGGAGCAGGAAGGAGGCAGAGCTCAGAGTGCCCCCCAAGCCGAAGGTGGCGGCAGGAACCTCTGCAGAGAGAGAGGGTGCCGGGCATGAGGCCTGGGGCTGGGGAGAAGGCACAGCCTCTGCCCTGGGGCCCACCTGCTTTGCTCCTCACCATAAGCACATGTGGGACCCGTATAGGGTCGGGGGCACTCGCAACGAAAGTCAGTCCACAGGTCCACGCAGGCCCCTCTGTGGGCGCAAGGCGGAGGCTGACACTGTTCATGGCGCTCGCAGCCCAGAAGGACATTCTCCCCAAGATCCTCAGGTAGCAGGAGGTGCCCATCCACATGTACGTCCTGGAGGCAGCCTGCAAAGGCCGCGCCACCCAGCTGGACAGAGCAGAACCCGGCAGGCGTCGGAGCCATGGCAGCTGTAGGACCTGGGGCCACAGGACTGGAGGCCACGCAGAACGGGGCAGGGCAGCCCTCATGCCAGAGCCGCAGGTCCAGGACCCCAAGGCGGAGCACCACCTCCACTCGGTGCCAGCGGCCATCATTTAGGGCCAGGTCTGACAGCCTCAGGACAAGTACAGTGTCGCCATGGCTCCAGAGCGTGGCCTGAAGTGTAGCCCCCACCAATGCCAGCTCCAAGCTGACGTGGGTATCAGCGCGAGTAGCCAAGGTACCAGCAGGTAGTGTAGTGCGAAATCTCAGTGCCAGAGCCAGGGGACCACCAGCAGACACTGATGCCTGCACAGGGTTCCCAGCCACTATGGAGAAGGTGGTATTCTGACCACAGAAAGATCCATGAGTACCAGGTGGGCAGCGGCAGACATAACTGTGGACCCCAGACTCGAAGGTGGGGATGCAGGTGGCAGCCAGTGGGCAAGTGTGGCCCTGGCAGCCGGTGAGCTGCACGGAACAGTCGTGCCCACCCCAAGCCTCCAGGCACCGGCAGATGTAGCCTGCCACAGTGTCATCACAGGTCCCACCATGGAGGCAGGGCTCCGACAGGCACTCGTCCACATCTTCCTGACACGTCAAGCCTTCGGGAGAGACCAGGCCAAGGCTCAGCACCCAAGGCTGGAACCACAGTCTCAACCCAGAGCTTGCATACCTCTTGGGACCGGGACCTCATTACCTGTCAATCAAACCAAGTCCCAATTCCCAAAGGATTTCTCATGGGCCTCTGAAGTCCCTAGAGGCTGGAATCCAACAAACCCCTTTCTCTACCATGTCTGGTGAGCCTCCATGCCCTGTGGATTCAACCCCCTAAATACTCTCCAATCTGCCCTTTCTCCCACCCCACCTCACCTACCTCACCAGCCCTCTGGACCATAGTCTGGAAGCCTCCAGTTTGCTTGACTTCAGACCCTCATCCATCTCCACTAGTAGCCAGAGATCTATTTCCAAAGGATCACCTGGCCAGATGCCTCTGCTGCTTAAGGGCCAATCACTCACCCTGGCATGCGAGATCCCTCATAGGATGGGCTCTCAGGTACTCAATCTCAACCTTGCTTCCTACACACCTTGAACTGCCTGTTCCTCCAAGCTTTTCCTGGAAAGTCCTGCCTCTGGGGCTTTGCTCATACTGTTCCCTCTGCTTGGAATGTCTCATCCTCCATTACCCTGCCTTTCAAACTCCTAATCACCCTACAAAGTCCAAACTGAAGGACCAGTCCCCTAGAAGTCTTTCTCTCACTCCTAACCACAAGCTACTGTGTCACTCCCAACTCCTTGCCCACTCCCAGGCACAGCACCCCAGAACCCTGTATTGAAAGTATCTGTTTACTCAGCTGAAATCTCTTCCAGGGGCCTGAATATGTCGTTGGTGCCCAGCAAAGGGCCTAGCATGGCTTTTGTGGACAGAGTGATGAAATGGAGGAGCGAGTGAAGGTGGGTGTGCGCATCTGTGGCACTCCAAGTAGCCCCCAGACTGTAATCCCCAGCCCCCCTGCACTAGGCTGTGAAGGGGCCACCTCATCCTCTCCTCCAGGAGCTCCCACGCCAGCTGCTCTGGCCCCAGCTTGGGTCAAGAGGCCACAGCGCAACCCCAGCTCAGCTAGAGTCTCCACCAAACAACCAAGACTAGCCCTGCCCTGGATCCCAGCTGGAGGAACCTAGGCCCAAAGAAGCCACCAGGATTTGAATCCTGGCCCCAGAAGGCCCACAAACAGCAGTCTCCTTCTGAGGACAGCTAGCTCCACCTCCTCCCACCCAAAGCCACAGTTCTCCATACCTGCCAGGAGCCACACGCCCCTTAGGAAGGTCCACAGAGCCCGCGGCCCCATTGCATTCCCCCACAAGCTAAACGAGCGGGGAAACGCCGAGCTCCCCGCCTGGCCTCTTTCGCAGCCAGCTCAGGAATGCCAGGCACTGGCCTCCCTCACGCCCAGCACGACCCAAAGGGAGGATGAGGGTGGACAGTGGCAAGGAGCCCAACCCCATAGCCAGGGTTCCCCCTCCTCGTCCCTGACCTTAGAAAGCTGACCTCCCTCTCTTGCTGACACACTGGGGAACCTGAGGGGATGGCATCCCCTCTCTAAAGCCTCCATTGCCTAATCTGTAAGATGGGAATTTAAACCCCTACTTCATGGGGCTGTGGTGAGAATGCTCTTCAGAGGCAGGGTCTGCTTGCTGGGCCCACTATGTGCCAGGCACCTGTGAGGCAGGACTCAGGAACTGTGGCCCACGGGGGCAGAAGACGGACTTTCAGGGCCCCCAGGGGAGCTGGCCACCCAAGGGTGCAGACCCTGAGCTCCATTGTCTTTGGGTGGGTGAGAGTGGAAGGGACGGCAATGATCGCCACCTCCTTTCCCTGGGCGAGGGAGCTGTCTGTGCCCAGGCACCCTGCCAGGGAGAGGAGGCAATGTGCCTGAGCAGGAATGCGGGGCCGTGTGGGGGAAGTGTCACAGGCATTCCAGAGGGGTCAGGGACACTCAGTGAGTGTGAAGAGTTCCTCGGGTTCACCGGTGTCCGTGGGGGAGGGTGTCTGTGTGTCTGTGCATCTGCTCTCCCTGAGGCTTCCTGCACCCCCAACTCCTGCCCAACAGGCCCCAGTTCCCCAAAGGTCAAGCTCATCCTTTTCCAGACACTGCCTGCCCCCAGCATCCTTTTACATTCTCTGTCCTGGCCAAACCGCCTCTGTCCTCCTGCAGGCCTCTCGGCCTCTGCCCAGCCCTCTGATGTCAGGTGTCAAGGGCTCTCTTTGCCCATTGCTCCATACGTTGTCCTGGACAACCTCGGCCACCCATGGCCACAGCTGCCAGGATTACACTCCTGACCCCCAGTCTCTGCCTCCAGCCCCAGCCCCTCTTCTGGGCCCCAGATCCCAGACCAACCAGCCTCCCCTGACAGGTTCCTCTCTGGGGGTGCTCCATAGACACTTGGACTTAGTGTGGACATCATCCTCCACCCAACGTCACCCAGGACAGAAACTCAGCCGGCATCCCTGACACCTCCCACTCACACCTGGGTAACCCTCAGGACCTGGTGGCTGTCCCTCCTAAATATTCCTCAACCTACGTAGTTCCCTCCACTTCCACTTCCAAAGCCCAGGTTCCAGCTCAGTCCCTCTTAGCTATCACCTGGGCCACTGCACCCACTTCCTCCTTAATTTCCTTGTCTCCCCACTAATTCTGCCTCCACACATCAGCCAGAGGAACCTTCTCAACCCAATCCCACCAACTCTGACCTTGTCCTGCCCCGGGGCCCACCCCATCCCCAAGCACCTGTGTAGCCATTTGGACAGTGACACTGAAAGCCATTGGGCAGGTCCTGGCAGTGGCCTCCACTGAGGCATGGCGCTGAGGCACACTCGTCCACGTCCACGCTGCAGTCGTCTCCTGCAAGAGGCCCGGCTGTGGTTCCCGTCTGTGCCCTCAGAGCCAAGAAGGGCCCATTTTATAGCTAGGGAGGCTGAGGCCCAGTGAGAGGAGCTTGAACCCGGCCCAGCATCCCTCCGCTGCATTTGGACACCGGTGGACCTGCTGTCCTGGAAGCGGGCAGAGAACTCACCCTCAAAGCCCGGCGGGCAGCGGCACAGGAAGCCCGCAGCATGGCGGAAGCTGAAGGCGCCGGGGAAGGCGGCCTGGACGTCCCCATAGAGGGACGGGTCGGAGCGCTGCAGACACTGGCCCCCGTGTTGGCAGGGTCCTGCCGCACACTCGTCGTCGTCCACCTCGCACTGATCGCCGCTGTAGCCTGGGGGACACACACGTGGGCATCAGGTCACACAGGGTCACAGGGCAGCACCCCTCCACTGCTGCCAGGCAAGCCCTCAGCCAGGCTGGGACAACAAGTTAGAATATGGTCACGCATATTCTGAGGGAGGGACACATAGAGGGGAGTAGGAATGACCACCGCAGGCTCCATCAGCTCAGCATCATCTTACTATTATTAGCAACCCCCTTGCACGTGCCAGGCGATGTGACAAGGCTTCGAGAACTTTACATCTTGACCCTCCTCACAACTCCAGGAGCACGTGCTATGATTAGCCCTATTTTGCAGATGAGGAAATCGGCTCAGAGAAGTTGCAGTCACAGGCACACACTCTGCTTGGTCCACTGAGGGCGCATGCACACAGGCGCACACCGAACGGGGCCGCCACAGGCCGCGCCCTCCCCGCCAGCCTGCACCCGTGCACGCACACACGCACCTGGCCAGCAGAGGCAGCGGAAGCTCCGGAGGCCCTCCAGGCAGGACGCGTTGTGCGCGCAGGGCGCTGACGCGCACTCCAGCACCTCCTGTTCGCAGTGCGTGCCCTCGTAGCCCGTGTCCTCACAGTCGCACCGGAACCTGGAGCGAGCCGCGCGCTCAGCTGAAGCCCCCCCTGCCTCCACCGCGCCCCCCACCCACCCCGCAGCCTCTCCACCTTCGGGCACCAGGCTGCCTGCTCACCCGTTGACCAGGTCGTGGCACACGCCCCCATGCGCGCATGGCTGACTCTGGCATTCGTCCAGGTCCAGCTGGCAGCTGGCGCCTCCGTAGCCCGGCGTGCATACACAGCGGTAGGAGCCCAAGCCGTCCAGACAGGAGCCCCCATGCAGGCAGGGCGCCGAGGCACACTCATCAACCTCCGCCTCGCAGGTCAAGCCTGGACAGGGTGGAAAACGCAGAGAAAGCATCACCCAGGCAGAAAGAGACCGAGCCAGGCTGACTCAAACCTGCTCCAGTTACAGGGAGTGGAAAGGTGAGCATCCAGAGAGAACCCCCTGGTTCATTTGTCCAGAGCAGGTGTTTCTTGCACCGGCAATGGTACAGGGGTAGAAACAAGACAGACACCCCTGCCCCTTGAGTGCACAGACATCTAACCCGGAAGATGAGCATAGGTCAATGGTAAATAAATGAGGACTGCTTTTTAAAATTTTAATAAGTTCAACAATGAGAAAGTACTGGATCCTGTGAAAACAAGAGCCAGGATCTTGCTCTAGGAAATTGGGAGTCAGGGCAGGCTTCCTGGAAGAAGAGCCTTTTGAAGGATGAGAGGGCGTTCACTAGACTAGGATGGGGGCTGTGCAAGCAGTTGGATTCCAGAGAGACTTGGTAAAGACCTGACTGGGGCTAGGCATGATGCCCTAGGGCAGGGTGCAGGGAGTGGAGGGAGCTAAGGGGAGAGTGGAGGCAGTGAGGCATGGGTGGGAGGTGACGGGGCCAGTAACACAATCTGGGCTTATCCTACAAGTTTTAAGCAGCTGAGTTACATGGTTCTATCTGCATTTTAGAAAGCTCACCCTGCTGATTTGGAAGAAGGTGTAAGGATGGACCCCAGAGAGGGACAGATGCTGGCAGGAGATTCTGGAGTAAGGTAAGCAACTCCTGGATTTCCCTGCATTGACTTGCTTTGAAAACTTAAAGTCCAAGTCCCGGGAACCCTCTCAGTCCTGGCAACACCTAGATGATTGGGTGGCCCTCAGGGGAGGTGACTGCAGATGAAGGGAGATGGAGAACCTCGGTGTGGACATGTACTGCTGAGTTCATCGTGGAGCAAACATGTCACTGTAGACCCCGGTGGCCCTGCTCCTGCCCCCTATTTGGGATTGGTCATGGAGGGCCAGGGGCCCAGCTGGCTCCAGCTGGAATCTTACCCCCTCCTCGCTCAGCAAGCACAAAACACGGCCCCTCCTTCCTGTGACCCCCCCCCACTCCTCCCACCCCAGCCCCACTCCCACCCTCTGTGCCAGGGGGAGCCAGGCCCAGGCTGCCTGGAATCCCAACCTCCCCCGCCTGGCTGGGAACGGAAGGAGGAGGAGAGAAATGAGTCACGGCAGATGCTGCCCCCACTCACATCTACAGCTCACACAGAAAGTGTTACCCAAAGTGTCTGAGCACCACACATCCGGGCGCACATACACCTGCTGGCACTCACACACATACGCTTAGCACAGACGCATTCAGGGAGCCCAGACACCTGCAAATACTGGCAGACACACAGGCCCGTTACATGACCTCACTCACACATACACAATTAACGTATCCAGACACAGAGACTCTCAAATGATGAGAAAGACACATGGAACCTGTGTCCAGAGTCCATTTTCATCTGTGTGCTGAGATCCATCTCTTCACTGTAAACCCTGACCCCCAGCCTATACCCTTTGCTCTGAAGTGACCTCAGACTGCCCTCTGCCCTCAGAGAGTTGTGTGAATTCGGGGTTGAATACCACAGGCTCCCAATTGCCCTAGACCTAGACTCTTCCCGAACCTGTCCCCAGCTTGTCCTCCTTCCCAGGCAGTCATTCCGATGGTGTTGCCTTGGAGCATGGATGGGACTGGGACAGGGCCATGCTCTGGTGGAGGGAACTAGCGTTTCCTCAGTGCCAGCACTTGTGCATACATTGTCTTCCACTTCCCACTGGAGAAGCCGGGGCCCCTGAGGGTGCATCTGCATTACAGTTTGAACAAGACCACCAGTGTCTCTGTGCTAGAGCTTTGAGGGCTGCACAGAAGGGAAGGGATCTACATTGCAACCTGAACCATACTACGGGTGCTCATAACTCTAGAACCATCAGATGAACCGACTGTCTACGATACAGCCCGAACCAAGCCTGGAGTGAGTAGATGCTAGAAGTACTGTCTAGATGTGTCGTCATTAAAGCCAAACCCAGGCATATCTGCACGGTGGTCCCATCAGAGATGCCTGAGGGGTGTCTCCACCCTAGAACTCTAGAAGGGACTGAACTACCATTTGTCTAGTGCTTGCACGTTCATGCTCTCATCCAGAGCTACCAGGTCAGCCCAAGAAGCATCAACTCTGTAGCAAGACCCAGGGTGGCTATACCCTAGGGCTGCCAGTATGCCTGGAGGGCGGGCGG